TGGTTGCTAAGCAAAACACACACCTACTTCAATGCATAGGAAGGGGATAAACAGTACGTCACAGATTCTAATGACTCTGGCGCCCGGGGCGACCTTTAATTATTATATTTTTGTTCTCTTATACCTTAGTCATTAATGTAGAAAAACAAATGAGCTTATTTTTGTGGACCACAGCAGATTCATAAATTGTCTTTATGTCTGAATCATATTTCATTCTGATCATCTGCGCACACTTCATTCATTTTCCTGGGCACGTGTCTGTCTGTCTGCCTCACGTGGGGCCCCTGAATTCAAGACCTCAGCCTAGAGGTGCTGTCTGAAAACTGCTTCATTCTACGGGCTCTGTGCTCGAAAGAATTTAATTATGCTGTTTTGTTTGCAGTTCACTTAAAAAAAACCAAATGCACGTGACTTTCTCAACGATTCATATTGGTCAGAATCTCACAGTTATCATGAAATGTTTATAGAGAAAAAGGATCTCTAGGGGGGCGTGCTCAGGGTGGGCACACGTGCGTCCTCACGGAGCAGGGTGTGCGAGAGAGAGGCTTGGCTGAGTGTTTCTGAATTCTGACTCGATGGGCAAGGACACGCCTCCCTGCCTATCGCTCTCACCGAAATTCTTCTCTTTTAACAAGCAAAACAAGAAGTCCATCACTTGGAAGCGTTTGGCAAACAACATTTTATGCTGTTTTTCCCTCTCCCTCCCCCACGTGTGAACGCACACACGAGCACACACGCGCACTCACACACACACGCGCGCACACACACACTCACACAGACTCTCCCTCCATCAAGGGGCAGGAGGTAGTCCTCGAAGTCCATTTTGAGTTCATAGGACCAGGAAGTAAGCACCCCCTAAAACATGCCCAAAGTACCCCGGGGTGACCTGGATGGGGGCTTAGGACAAGCCGAAATAAAACCAAATAAATTAAAACTGTAAGAAAAGCTCTAAGCAAAAGAAAGCTTGGAAACGGACAAACCAATGAAGTGAAGGCCATGGCAGGTGAGAGGGTGGGAAAGCCAAGACTCCCAGCAAGGGAGGAGCGGGGGACATGGGGCTCTGTCCCCGTGCACTGGGGGGGACACCTGCCCCGCAGGGACGGGGGTCTGACCAGCGAGGGGGGCCTGGTGGGAGCAACGTGACATGAATCAACAGAAAAGATGGCGCAAAGAAAAAGAAACATCGCAAATAAAAAGACATGTAACATGTGCCTACCATTTTCCAGATAAGAAGGGGCCGTACCTTCTGACGGGTCCAGGCGGCGGGCCCGCCGCCCGTGTTTGGAGTTGTTGTGTACAAACATGTTGTCGGACACGGCCAGCACGTGGCCGTCCACGTTGACCGTTGTGGACACGACAACCTGCAGAGACAAGCGCAGGTGAAGGCGGGGTCGGCGGGGAGGTGAAGCCCCGCCAGGTGCTCAGCCAGCCACCCGCAGTGTCCCTCCCGGAGGTCGCGCTCCCGTGATCCTCCGCGAATCACAGCCTTTGGGGCTGATGGAGTGGGTGGGTTGTTTTGTTTTGACTCAAGACTGCTTCCCTTCAAAACCCACTGCACTAATTACAGTTTAATCTCCTATTATGCTAACAAGTGAATTCAATTCAGAGAAATATTCTTCTAGCCATTAGCTTCAGAAACACCCCTCCAGCCGCTCATTTTAAAGCTGCTGTTTTGATTGATCTGCTCACATATTGATTAGATAGTTTATCTAATTAAAATTAGTTCACTGGAGACTGTCCTTCCTTGAAGGGTTCTCGGATTCAGAGTTGCCCCAAAAGGGAAACAAAGGCTTGTGAGTCGGAAGGCTCTCCTCCCGCCCACATTCACACCACTGTCTGGTAACCAGCGCTTTTGCATCTGAATAGGAACCAAGTGGCTGCAGCCCAGGGAAGTCTCCTTTCTCAGGTGCATCTTGAGGATGGCAGGGATGAGGACCTGCTGCACCAAGGAGTGTGTTTCCTGCGGGAGCGAGAGGCTCTGCCCTGAGGTCTGGGTGCAGCGGGCGGCCGGGGAAGTGGTGGGGGCCAGGCCCTCCCACACTCTCAGCTGCTTCCCAGAAGTGAAAAAGGAACTCATGCAGGGACGGGACGGCCCTGCCGACCCGACACCTTGCCAGGTGAACTTGTGACGAGCACCCCGGAAGCGGCACCCCTAAAGGACTCAGGAAACAGGAAATTACCCTCAACCTTGAGATTTTTTCTTGAGGTGGGCCCAACTGGTGTACTACTTTCAGAATCGCAGGGGCGGCACAGATGTGAGCCCAGGTTCAGTCTGGGTCTGACAGCAGGATTTGGGGGCTGGAGTCTGGACGTGAGGTGGGGGAGTCTGGTTCTCGGCCGTGTTTGGGCAGTGGGGAGGGCCAGCACCACTGAGAGAACTGGGACCCCACAGAGGACAGCTGGGCAGGTGCGTGGAGAACCAGAAGGGCCTGCACACGTCAAAACCCGCTGTGGAAGGTGATTTAAAAGCAAAGCTATGGTGGGCCTCAGTTGATAACAAGCCACTCCCCTGCGAGACGTTAATAACTGGGGAAACTGGGGGTGGGAGGCAGGGACTTGCGGGGATTACTGGTACTTTCTGTGAAACTTTTCTGTAAACCTAAAACTGCTCTTAAAAAAAGTGCATTGCAGGGGACGGTGTTCAGTGGTAGAGCGCATGCTTAGTACGCAGGAGGTCCTGGGTTCAACCCCCAGTACCACCATTAAAAAAAAAGTCCATTGGTTAAAAAAATGATGAATAGAAGTGATTACAAATAAAGAGTATTTTTAAGAATTAAAAAAAGCCAAAGCTACACGTTTATATATAAATACATATATAAGTAATTGGTATTTTATAAAAACCTCAGGTCCCACATGAAGACTATGAGGCAGAACCAGCCGCCACTGGACCCGCCCCCCACCCAAAGGAAGGGACACCTTCCCAGACCAGTCTTTCCTGCTGTGGGCATCGTCAAGATCACTGACGTCTCCCCAGTATCAGGCCCTCCCTCTGAGCCTCAAAATAATGGCAGTGCAACCAACAGAGTGCCCAGGCCCGGGCGCAGATCTCTCAGCACCTCTCAGACTGCTGCCCCGGGGAGGCCATCTGCGCTGCCCCGACAAGGGTGCTCTGACCCCACTGGGGCACAACTGGCCTGGCAGCTCCCACCCAGAGGACACAGGGCTGCCCTGGTCGCGCAGGCGCTCTCCTAGCAGCCATCTGCCAGGCCCCGCCCTGGGCGTGGAGGGAAACTCCACCGACATGTCCCCCAGGTAGGGTGCAGAGACACAGAACTAATACTGAGCCACCAGCTTGACCCTCTCCACGTCCCTAGACCACGCTGTGTTACAGAAACCAGAAAAGGTAAGAATAAAAAATTTTAAAAAGGACACTGTTTTTGCTCTGTCGTCTATATATAGGTCAGCCACCAAGGGAAAAGCGTAGTTCAGCCAAGGAAGTAGACAAGCCGCATTCCGTTTCTCGGCCGGGCAGCCCTGCAGTGCACCTGCAGAGAGGGGCTGAGGCTGTGGTACCAGCTGGAAATGCTGTGTGAGCCCTGACATACTGTTAAGTCCACCTCAACCTCCTGCGAGGCAGGGGGTTAGCTAAAGAGACGGGGGGAGGTCCCCTAGTAACTGCGGGCTGCGCTGTGAGCGACGCTGCGTTTCGCCACTGGAGAGCCCACGCGTGACCTCCCCGCTGCTCAGTGGGTCCACGCCGCCCGCAAGGCCTCGGGCAAGAGAACCGAGGCGGCGCCAGAGCGAGGCGGCGGGCGGGCCCGCAGACTCCACCCGCTCTGCCTGGCTGGTTGCATGCAAAGACTCGTGTCACGTGCTTCCTCTAAAGACTGAAGCACAACTTACATTTCTAAAAACAAAATAATGCCTTGAGTTATTTGATGGTTAAACGAATCTAAATCCCAAATAAGAATCACTGGTAACACCCCATCTAGCGCTGAGCTCCCAAACCCTTCTCCGGCTGGCGGGGGCCAAGAGCAGTTCCGTGTCCCAGCCCAGACGTGTTCACCATTAAAATCAGCAAAATAACCCATCGTGTGTGCTGAGTTACCCTTCACTCTGAAGTCACCTCCGAATCTCTCACAAACAAAGGCAAGAAAAACGTGAACTCGGTCATAATTTACCCCTGAACCCAAGCAACTCTCCATCTCTCTCCCCGAGGTGAAATCCTCCGAGGCAAACCAGAGGAGGAGGGAGCCTGGGCTGGGGACACAGCCTGGCCGCCAGACACGGGGTTAAGGAGGCAAGAACAGCCCAGGGGGAGGGCAGCTGACCTGGGGACACGCTCTGGAGTGGGGAGAGGCCTGCCCTGAGCAGCTGCCGCCCCTCCGTGAGAGGGCCCCTCGCCCCCCAGGAGCCCCCACACAAAGCACGGTGGTTCTGCCCATGACCAGTCAATCCGTCCCTGAAAGCAGCTCTCCAGCGCGGGCCCCAAGCAGCAACAAGGTGCCGCTGAGGAGACGGGCTGCACCAGACACTACACTGGCTTTCTTTGGAAAAAATTCTGAAACAGTCATTTTGGAACACAGCCATAGGACTTACCAGGGTTGAATGTAACTCCAACTTAACCGACCGCTCTCATAACCCTGATTTCAGGATGCCCCGCAGCCCGACACGGAGGGCCAGGGCAGCGTGCCCACCCCAAGATGCCCACGTGGGCATCGGAGCCAAAGCTCCAGGCACGTTTCCAGAGCTGGTTTCACTTTGCCACGACTGAGCTCGATGAATCTGGTCCTGAAGGTGCCAGATCGATCATTCTTTAAAGCATTCAATTTAAATGGTCTATCAAATGAGCCCATCCTGGTGTGCTCCCGAGCCCTGGAGAACTAAAGGCTGGTTTCCCAACAATTGCAACATCAGAGAATCCAGCTTTCACACACAAGTCCGGCCTGCAGTCCGGGTGTCTTTGAGAAACGTGTACCTGGAATCTCCGCATGTCCCGAGGGTTGCCTGCATTCTTCAAACAGTTCTGATTGCACTTGAGGAAAAACTTTAGAAAGAATCTACAAAAATACAAAAAACGGATATTTGTTAGGGTATCAGACAAAAGACGCAGAAGTGTTGAATGACACACTCGCTGGGGGGGGGGGCGGCCCCACACCGCCTGCTGGCGGCCCTGGAGGGGGCGGTACTGAGAGGAGACCCCCGGGGGAGGCAGGGGGAGGCAGGGGCAGGCACCTCAGGTCCAGCGGCCAGTGCAGAAGAGCTCCACATATGGAAGCAGTGGTTTGCCTTGACACTGGGGGATCCCAACCTTTATAATGACAACTGTGACTTTGATTGGCCATTTCTTGCCTGGCTCTTTGCACAACAGACCATTAACCATTGGGGACGTGTCCACCCCAGCCAGGGCTGCCAGCTTCAGCAAATAAAAACACAGAATGCCTAGTTTAATCTGAATTTCAGATAAACAACGAATAATTTTTTAGGATAGGCATGTCCCAAAGCATACCTCCCCTAAAAAAATCGTTGTTTACCCAAAATTCAAATTTAACCAGACGTGCTGAATTCTACCTGGCAACCCAACCTCTGGGACCGTCACTGCCCAGGTAAACACACTTTTGAAGATGGATTCTTTTAGAGTTACAATAGGTACAGTTCCTAAGAGAGGATTTAGGGCACTGTTTTTAGGGCTGCAACGACTTCTGTTAAAGGCCTACGTGTGTTTTTAAGGGAACGATCAAATACCCCTGATGTGGCCAGGAAACTGTCCCTTAGGCAGAGAGAAGCAGGGGACCCTGGCTGGACACGGAGCTGCTTCTACTTCCCGCCACGGCCCGCCCCTGCGTCCTGAAGCATGAGGTTTCGGGGTCCTGACAGTGTGTTGAGATGCTGTGACAAAAACATCATCACGTTGTCCGCCCCGTTCCCGTGTGCTCCGTGACAAACGCAGGAGCTCTGGCTCCCAATAGGAGAGTGTGGGCCCTGGGAGGCCCAGCTGCACCACCAGCCACGGCAGAAACAGAGGGTCACCTCCCCACAGCACCTCCGCTCCACCCAGCAAGGCTGGGCCCTCTGGGCCAACACCCTGTCCACAAGGCTATTCACAAAAACCTCCCCTAGGTTATTTCCAAACATCATGCGTCCTACTTGACAGGGGCACATCTTTTCACGAAGTTTCACACGATTTCCTTGGATTCAACCTGACGGTCAAGGTTCCTGGTGGACGATTAACATCTCATGAAAATTAAAAGATTTCAGATACTTAGACTCATTTCTCTACCTGCCCGGGACCAACATACCCGGGACGACTTCCTACCGCGGCTGAAGAAAACCTGACTGATGGGAGAAAGAACAGTGGCCACTTAATTAAACTTTCCTCCATCCTGCGCGGCCCCGCGATTTTAGGCCAGAATTTACATCTTTTATTAACTCACCTCACCTATACACTTAGCTCGCCGGGCCTCTTAACACCATCTGCCATCAGCGCAGAGTAAGTCACTTGATATTCCACCCACCAATTCCCTCCTAACAGCCACCGTGCAATTAAGCTCCACGCGCTCGCGGCGAGGTAAATTAGGCGCACCTGCGGCCGCGCTGCGCCCAACGGCACCAGAAAGGGCCTAACAAGGTGAGGGCGTCACAAAGTTATCGTCCTGTCGGGCAATTAGGTTTCCACTTCGGGGACAGTCACTCGGCACAATTATGCCGCACGTTACCACCCAGCTAATCTCCGAGCGGGCGCCAGCCGGGGGCCACTCGTCCGCGCAGGGCCGTCGGCGGGAGCGTTCTGGCAGTCTGGAAGATCCCCCCCCACCACCACGGGAGCCTCCTTTGCGTTCCTGGGTGTGTTTTTGAGCCAGTGGAGCCGGAACAGCCATCACCCTGGATGGTCACCGCAGGCAGCCTTGGGCCTTAACCACTGTCGCTGCAGGAATTAGCAGAACAAAGTTGGGTGCCGGGCCCCGTAACCCCCTGAGCGTCTTGGGGGTCGACTCGGGAGCAGGTGCACGTGCACACGTTGACCTGCTGTGGGTGTGTGGGCAATGGCAGGATTCTTCTTGAAGTTTCTCAAAACAGCATAAGGACTTGGGAAAGATCTGTAGTTCCTGAGTGGACGGCCCTACAGAGCAGGGTCCCTCCCGCGTGCTCAGGCCCCAATTACACAAACAAATTAAGGCCCCGCACGTGTGGGAGCAGACAGAGGAGGAAGAGGAGACTTGTGCTTGATTTCCATCTTCGTTTTGGCTACGTTTAACTCAAGGATTCAAGCAAGCCTCCCCAGGGCGGGCGGCACCGTCCAGCCAGCGCCTGGCTGCAGACACTGGACACAGTCCCTTCCGGGGCAAATGCGTGCTCTCTGCCGGCCAGGGCTCAGTAAGCCGGGCCGGGCCGGAGTTTGGGAGTCTGGGGGGGCGGCAAGAAGGGAGCTCGAACACGTGAAGTCAAATGGTGATTCTCATCCTTTTCTCAATTACCCTTTAATTGGCTTTTTCCTAAGAAATATCTGACAACCACTTTACAGATCTCCCTTCTAGAGTCTGGTACACAAAGGATTTAATACTCTTGTTATGAAAGGAAAAATCTTTCCTATGTCAGAAAATCTTTGGCTTTAACACCAATAAACTCTTTATTACTGCTAAACATGGGTTTGCAGCTTGATGAAAAAGAGGCGATAAAAATTCTAACCTGTCATTAGTACACGATGCTTAATTGTGTGCAGTGTGTTCCCCATTGCATGTGCTGGCCGATCATCAGAATGACCATTATGTACACTAATTCCCTGACCCTGTCTTTATTTCCCTAAAGAGTCATCATCTTTCACAGTAGGTACCAGAGTAAATCAAGCTTGAAATATGGGCTTTATTTACTTGTGTCTCCCAGGCAGGAGGGAAGGCAGCAGCTCCGGGCAGACTGTTACCCGTCGGTCGAAACTGCCCGCTAACACCCCGCTCGGAAGCAGCGCCCCCAAATCCTGGGAAGTTCTCAGTAGCCATTAGAAGGGGCTCAGGTGTGATCTCATCACCTCTGAAGTCAGGTTTCCTCTCAGCACGCCACGTGGGCGATCTCCTTCGCTCTTAGGAGAGCTGGTTCCAGCAGGCTCCCTCCTCCAAACCTGAGCGCCCCGTGAAGATGCACCCAGGGGTCTCAGCCCGGGAGCCCGAGGCGGGGAGCCGCTGGGTCCAGCAGCCGCCGAGAGCTTGAGTCTGAGCTGGAAACCGAGGCCCGCCCTCAGTTCTGCAGGGGCAGTTATTCCCGCTCTAGACAGAGCTGTGGCCACGCTCTGCCCGCTGCAGAAAGTACAAAGTCTGGTCTGGGTGGCATCTGTCTCAGAATCCTGTCCCACCACGCCCGCACTCCCGGAGGTGCTCGGCGGCAGGACGCGGGCGCCTCCACGGGGCTCAGACCGACCACGGGCTCAACCGAGCTAACTGGCGCCCACTCTAGGTATCACACAATAAGGGGCAGGCCCCACCACAGTAACTAATTTCCAAGTCTGCTCCATTTCTGTGTGTTTAAGCTATGAATTAGTTCATTGATATTTACTTTTATGAAGCTGATTAGCCAGAGCTTCTCTATCTGATGAAAATCATTTTAATTGTAGTGTTAGGCTCCTGTGTAATATCCATTACATTATGAACTGTTTAAATTCTACATGGGTATTGTGCAAATTGGCCCTTTGTGAGCGAGCAGGCAATTAGGACCAAACACTCTCCTTTAAGCGGCTACAGAACTTTGTGGTGTTGTTCAGGACAATCAGAAACAAAGGAGGCTGTTTAATTGTAATTTAATGGAATATCAAGGAGTCCGTGGCATTAGACGCTGGCAACAGAGAGCAGGAGAGAAAAATTAACTGCAATTATGTTTGATTAAAGCTATCCTTCTCAATAATCAGCGGTCCTGACAGGCCATGGGGCTCTAGTGGGTTCCAGGATGGCAAAAGGTGTTGAGCAATATTAGGGCCAATAAAGGGGAAATTAGCATAGCTAATTACAGCCCTGCAAAACCTGTAAAGGGGGCCTCTGTGTATTGTGATGTGTGAAGTAATTGGCCAAGGCCGTTATCAATTACATAAGGAATGAATTTGGTTTGTCAGAGAAAAGCTGATGAGACGCATTTCATCTGACACCATTCCTTTCCCTCCTGTCTCCAGTAGCTAAGAACTTGCCCACTTTTATCAAAAGCTGCAACTTACCAGTGGCCAAGTCACTGATAAAATTATCTTGCCAGCAAGTGTTAGGTAATTAATACCACCCATTCTCACCGCCTTCCCCACGACCGCTGTTCTTCAACCTCACTGAAGCCACTAATCATGTAATAATGATTTCTTTCCCTCTGGTCAGAGGAGAAATAGATTGTCTCCTTAGAAATGCAGTGGGCTTGGCGTGCGCACCCTGGTGATTGAGGAGAAAAAGGAAACTCTGAGCCGTCTCAGCGACCTGTCTTTTGCGTGTGGATGTCACGTGTCTGAAACTCCCTGTTCGCAGCATCTCAGGAACCTCACATGCAGAGGCTTATTTTAAAAGGTTTTCATTGTCCAGTTTTAGACTGTCCCAGGGCCTGGTCTCGCCAGCGCTTGGGAACGGGAGGGGCCGCGTGCTGGAGGGCGCAGGGCGCTAGCGGGGGTTCCTGGGGCGCCACCCGAGTGCAAGTGAAGGCCGCCCTCAGGAAAGAGCTGCGGCTTCCCACGGCGCCCGCATCTGAGCGCAGCCGCAGTCCCAGCGGGCGTGACCCCCTCCCGGTCCTCCTTCGTGGGTAATGTGGGGAATTTGAGTCAAGGGTTAAAAAATACCGGTATGGGGAGGAGGGCTCGATTTTCCGTTTCAAGGCGGAGTTCTTAATAAGCATCAAACTGATACCAATGGACAGGCCTCCATGTCATCAATCAAAAATCCCAAAGCACCCTTGGGGTAAGTCAAGGTGCCAACAGCTTTTGGGGTTCCAGGGATGGCAGGAGCCCCATTCCAGACTGAGCCCCATATTTTCAGTTCCTGAACCCAGAACGCAAAACCAGGAGACGCTTTAATACATAATAACCTTGAGAAGGGAATGTGCGTGCAGA